GTTGGTTTAAGGAGCAGTTAAGACAACTCCCATAAATTCGTTGTTAAACTTGAAGGGTGAGACTCCATTAGTGTTAAGAAGAATTAAAATGGTGCTGACATACTGGGTTAAATTAAAAGGAATTAAAAAAAGAAAATCCAGCATTAGCAGCATTAGAAAATCCCCAATAGTATTAGACTTACACGTAGACAACGATTATTGTCATTTTTGAGTACAGTGTGTACAAAATGAAATTTCTTTTTGTACAGTTTTCATGACATTTCCTTTTCTTAAAGTGCAGCAGTGATCAAATGTAAACAGGGAGAAAAACATTTCAAAAATGGTCATTTTGACAAGGTAAAAATGTTTTCTCAGGTAGCAGAAATACATATTCTGTTGGGATCCTGACGCTTGCCCACCAGAGGGCGCCGAGGATCCCTTCCTAGGGGTTTTGTGTTACTGTTGGGATCTGGGGTTCTGTCTACCTTTCTCCACGAGAGGGCGTATTGGATCTCCTGAAGCTGGAGCTGACGTCACCAGCTGTTCCTCATCTGCTCATCAGGAGACCAATACTTAAGCGGGCAGAGATCCTCACTCCAGGGCAGTGATGGGACTAACGGCGTTGAAAGTAACGGCGGTACTAACGCCGTTACCTTGTTTTAGTAACGAGTAATCTAACTAATTACTTTGACTGTAACTATAACGCAGTTACCATTGCAGACACCCCGTTACTGCGCGTTACTCAGGTCGCACAATTAACCTTTTTTCATGATAGGACTCGTGCGCAGCTGCGTGAAGCTGACACCCCACCCACGTCAAACTCTGCAAATAGACTGAATGGTTAGTGCAACGTTAGTGCAGATTTGTGCAGAAAAAAATATTGTTTGTGCTACTTTTGTTTAAGAGATATTAAAGATAATTTTTTAGGTCATCCAGAGGTGCGCGCCTTGTCATGAGAGAGGGGAGGATGAAAATGGCTGATGAATAGTGAGATTCCGTCTGTCAGTTGGGTAGGTGGGTGTTTCTGCTGGTGGGTGTTAACGTACAGCACACACAGAGAGATGGAGAGTGAGGATGACTCCAGCAGCAAAACAGTGTTTTCCTGATGGAAATACCGGTGTTACGTCGAGCTGCGTCCTCATCAGATACGGTTTCCTCTGCATCTCCGCACAGCGCAGGCGGCACGAGTCACCGCGCAAGCGACAGGAAACGCGCATGCTCGCTAAAGGCGCGCAACAGTCGCCCTGTGCTCGCGCCACAGGAGAACTATGGAGAGCGGGAACGATCAAATCATTAACCTGACAACAGCCAGAAATGATAGCCTATATGGAGAAAGGGAGAAATCTGGATGGATGGATGGATGGATGGATGGATGGATGGATGGATGGATGGATGGATGGATGGATGGATGGATGGATGGATGGATGGATGGATACTCTGCCTTCTCAACCTACTGTATTTTTTATTTTAAACATTATTTGATGGCCTTTGTGGCAGGGATGGAGATCCATATTTTATGTCACACACAGAGTATACATCTAGATAGATGGATAGATAGATGTTGCAGTATCTATAACAACCCAAACACACAGGATTTCAGTATTAGACATCCCCAGTTATTAATTTCACCAGATCTGAATGCCCTGTTAAAAAACTTCACATGGCGTTCCCCCCTGATGTCATTTACGTTTAGTTGCAATAAATGCAAAACTCTCTGCAGGTTCTTGTCTTTGTCGTCCGCTCTATTCAACTGGCTTTTGAAACACACGGCGATAAGGTGGGGGCTGGGTGGTGAGGGTTACGGGGGCGAGAAACGCAAAAGTAACGCAATAGTTACTTTTACTAGTAACTAGTTACTTTTATTGTGGAGTAACTCAGTTAGTAACTCAGTTACTTTTTGGGAGAAATAACTAGTAACTATAACTAATTACTTTTTCAAAGTAACGTGCCCAACACTGCTCCAGGGCCAGAGTGTTAGTCAGTTACGGTACAGCAAACCCTGAGCCAACCTGTCTGTCTAGTCTCCTGACTACGAAACCTGAACCTGATCCATCTTATCTTCTCTGCTTCCCAGGTTGAACCTGTCTGAAACCAGAAATCCCCCTGAAGAGTTTCTCTGTTGGAAATCTGTCTGTCTGATCTGAGAAGAACCCTGGAGAACCAAACGTGCCAAAGATCTGCTAGCCTGCTCCCAGAAGAATCTGGAAGGGAAACTCTAACCTGGAGATCTACAAGCTCAAGCCAAGCTAAGCCTCCACCAAGCCCTCAGCCTGCCGACAGCCTCTGAACCCTCCTGGTTCTCTCCTCCTCTGCTGCTCTGCTCAAACTCCAGGACAGTAACCCAGCCGTGACCAGCCCTGGACCTGATTACCCCCCCCCCCCGACCTGTTTGTGCGTCTCTTCTTTAATTAAACCTTTGAACTTTTTCCCTGTCTCTGAATTGTGTTCTGCAAATGGGCTAGCATCCAGAAACCCATCATGACATATTCAGTAAAATGAATACATAACCAAATAGCTTTCCATACCCTGTTGTGACCACGATAACATTACAGGTTCATTTCTTGAGTGGCAGTAGATCAATGTATTCCATTTAGGTGAAATCATCTGGCAGCTGGTAAGGATGAAGTCTTAAAACATTATGATGGATAGAACCTGTGCATCATCTCATGGGTTCCTCCTCAGTTTGATTCTTCCCTGATACACAGTAAATACTAAATGGCTGTTTGCAGTTGCTTCCGATGTTATCATTCCAACAAATGGTAGTTGTTAGCGGTTATCAATCCCATAGAATGGCTTCAGTTTGTGCCACTAGGCTCAGTAGGTTATCACTGAATGAATCCTAACCCTAAAGTAATTCCTTTCCCCCCCCAGCAATTAATTGCTCTATTTACGCGTAATCTGAAAGTAATTTCAGCAGTTCTTCATGCTACTGTTAAAATAAATAAATAAAAATAAAATGATCTGAATTTGGCTCATATTGATCAAACCAAAAACAAATAAATCTCATATCGCGTCAACAGAGATGTAGATTCTTTAATAAGATCCTCTTCAGTTGTACTTGCAATGTTTGTTTAAAAAAAAAAAACAGTGTGTCTAAGGACCTAGTAAATGATTTTTTTTTTATTTATGGACAAAACTATGACAGAAATATCCTGAGGGATTCAGGAAATAAAACGTTCTTAGCATGTTAGCTCTGGGGATTGAAATAGAGGTTGAGTAAATTCCCTGTGGGAAACGGAAAACTAAGTTTCCCTGATTTCAGGTTTAGAAACTTTTAAGTTTTCAGTAAGCCTGCTACGTGAAACGGATGCCTGTAATTTGGTACTCTTCTGATCTGTGTGTTGCCAGCTTTATACTCTTTTTTTGCTCTTTTATCTAATTGTGCATCTCAAGTAAAAAGCATATGTTTATTACTGTCAATTTGGACATCTGTATTTCCTGTGAAGGGAAGAAAGGTATGAATACCTCAGTATAATAGATAAAGTTTGTACATTAAAGTTAATCTTAAGAAAAGTATGGACTTGGTAGCTGAGGTCATGCTTAGGTTCTCATTTACTGATTCTATCTCACCTCTTTATTTTGAATCTCAGTCAATTTATGTACACTTTATCCATTCTATGAAATCTATCTGCAATGCATGATTAGGGCCTTCTCTACTGCCTGTCTTGGTTTAAAAAAAAAAGAAGAAAAACTCCCAGCCACACCCACTAACAGGTACATAAGGCCAACCAGCATATTACATAGAATGATAACAGAAGTACACTATATTGCCAAAAGTATTTGCTCACCTGCCTTGACTCACATATGAGCTTAAGTGACATCCCGTTCCTAATCCATAGGGTTCAATATGACGTCGGTCCACCCTTTGCAGCTAGAACAGCTTCAACTCTTCTGGGAAGGCTGTCCACAAGGTTTAGGAGTGTGTTTATGGGAATTTTTGACCATTCTTCCAGAAGCGCATTTGTGAGGTCGCACACTGATGTTGGAGGAGAAGGCCTGGCTCTCAGTCTCCGCTCTAATTCATCCCAAAGGTGTTCTATCGGGTTGAGGTCAGGACTCTGTGCAGGCCAGTCAAGTTCATCCACACCAGACTCTGTCATCCATGTCTTTATGGACCTTGCTTTGTGCACTGGTGCACAGTCATGTTGGAAGAGGAAGGGGCCAGCTCCAAACTGTTCCCACAAAGTTGGGAGCATGGAATTGTCCAAAATGTCTTGGTATGCTGAAGCATTCAGAGTTCCTTTCACTGGAACTAAGGGGCCAAGCCCAGCTCCTGAAAAACAACCCCACACCATAATCCCCCCTCCACCAAACTTTACACTTGGCACAATGCAGTCAGACAAGTACCGTTCTCCTGGCAACCGCCAAACCCAGACCCGTCCATCAGATTGCCAGATGGAGAAGCGCGATTCGTCACTCCAGAGAACGCGTCTCCACTGCTCTAGAGTCCAGTGGCGGCGTGCTTTACACCACCGCATCCGACGCTTTGCATTGCACTTGGTGATGTATGGCTTGGATGCAGCTGCTCGACCATGGAAACCCATTCCATGAAGCTCTCTGCGCACTGTTCTTGAGCTAATCTGAAGGCCACATGAAGTTTGGAGGTCTGTAGTGATTGACTCTGCAGAAAGTTGGCGACCTCTTCGCACTATGCGCGTCAGCATCCGCTGACCCCGCTCCGTCAGTTTACGTGGCCTACCTCTTCGTGGCTGAGTTGCTGTCGTTCCCAAACACTTCCATTTTCTTATAATACAGCTGACAGTTGACTGTGGAATATTTAGGAGCGAGGAAATTTCACGACTGGATTTGTTGCACAGGTGGCATCCTATCACAGTTCCACGCTGGAATTCACTGAGCTCCTGAGAGCGACCCATTCTTTCACAAATGTTTGTAAAAACAGTCTGCATGCCTAGGTGCTTGAATTTATACACCTGTGGCCATGGAAGTGATTGGAACACCTGATTCCAATAATTTGGATGGGTGAGCAAATACTTTTGGCAATATAGTGTATGTTGTTCAGTCATTGAGAAAAGGACAGCTCTCTACACGTATACTAAGTTTTGAGGGAGAAAGACAGAGCTCTTAAATTTCTTTTAGTAAAACTATATAGCAGCAAGCTAATTTGTTTTTTCTTTATACTGTTTTATAAATTTACTTTTTTTCTCTACGGGACTGAAAATATGGCTCAAGACGAGTCACTCTGTAATAAATCAACAGAACTACCTGAGCAAACTGTGACCTCTTATGCACTAAATATCTTTGCAGTTATTTTGTCACTTCTGATAATATGTGGGAATCTTCTTGTAATCATCTCTGTCATTTACTTCAAACAGCTGCACACTCCAACAAACTACCTCATCCTCTCTCTGGCTGTGACTGACCTGCTTGTTGGAGCTTTAGTTTTGCCTTTCAGCACAATACTGTCTATGACTTCATGTCGATATTCTAGTTATTTACTTTGTAAAACTCGAGGTTTGTTGGATATATTGCTATGTGTATCATCCATTTTAAACTTGTGCTGTATATCTATAGACAGGTATTATGCAGTATGCCATCCTTTAACATATACAAGTAAGATGAATGTTCGTGCTACTTTGATTATGATCTTGGTGAGCTGGACTCTTTCTGCTCTGCTTGCTATTAGCATTATAGTACGGGGGATAACACCACAAAATCTAGGCCAGAGGTGTGATTTATTTACACCCACAAAGGGATTTAGTCTTGAAACGATTTTTGAATTTTACATTCCTGCAATTATAATTTTAACAATATATTTTAAGATTATGATGGTTGCAAAGAGGCAAGCAAGGAGCATCAGGAACTCTGTAAATTGTGAAGCTGCTTTCAGTAAGATGGAGAAAAAAGCCAACATAACTCTGGCTATAGTGCTGGGAGTCTTCCTCATATGTTGGACTCCTTTCTTTTTGTCACTGGGTTTATACAGCATGGGAATATTCACAATACCAGTTGTGGCTATTGAAGCATTCAAATGGCTTGGATGGTCCAATTCTATGTTAAATCCCCTGGTTTATGCTTTCTTCTACAGTTGGTTTAGACATGCTTTTGAAATGATTATATCTGGTAAAATATTTCAAGCGGATTTTTCCAGTACAAAGCTGTGATGTGAATAAGTGTTAATCAGTTCTAATTACTAGTATGATCAATCTAGATTCATGTGAACTCAAATGTAAGACTTTTTAAGACTTTTTGCCTAAGTGAGAGTTTTTGATTATACACAAGCCTGGTTATTTCAATCTTATTTCCTATTTACTGAGTCTGCGCAGCCATTTTGAGGTTATGTAAATATATGTCATAAAGGATATTCTCACAGACAGAATGAAGCACTGTTCTAACAAACATACATTACCTAATGTAAGGATCAATTTCATACATGTGATTTTGAAAAAAAAAATTGATTTGTGAAAGTTTTTCATCTACTTGAGTTTGTTATTTTGGAGTACATTTTTTTTTATTAAGTTTCAGTTGAGACTTTAATATTTTGCATATAACCTGACATTTTTATCTGATGACATCATTTTCTAATTGTGAAATAAAGTTATACTCAGTTTCTCACTTCTTGAATATGTATTCTACCACAGTCTCTACAGATAATTTCTCTACCAATAAAGCTAGCTAAAGTATGAAGCTTTATTTCTACTCTTAAATAACTGCATGAGACATCCTAGGTGGACACATCATTTGGAGCAAGTCTCATTTGTGCTGTACATGTGGTGTAGAGGTTAGAGAATCCAGCAAAACTTCTCTTCTGATAAAGGTTCTTACCCAAAGACAGCAAAGTACTAATTAACAGTAAATGCAAGGTTTTAGAAAAGGCTTTGTGTGTTTTACTTCATTAGTACAGGTAGCAGTTGGCTTTAAAGTTACTATTAGGAATAGATTTAATCCAAGCATAGAACTGCTGCCTTCTGGTAATAAGCGTTTGCAATTAACCATGACAACAGCAGCACTACTTCTATTTTTTAGAAGAATTTAAGAAATTAACGCAACAATTTTGTGAATTTAAGTCTTTTTATAGTTTTTTTTTTAAGAATTAAGACTTTTTAAGACCCTGCAGAATTCCTTTCTACCTTTCTATCCAAATAGTTCATGTACTTACAGAGTAAAACAGAGTACTTTAACCAAATACAAATAATGTGTTTTCATATAGTTTTCTTAAAATGTTAATAGTAAAAGAGTTATAAAGAATAGACTGTCTTGACTGCTGCCCTCTTGTTCTGTCTGATAAAGAATGCAGCATAACAATGTTCAATGACATGACTTGTAAAGTAATGTGTTTGTTTATGAAGCTATTTTCACAAGTCATTAATTAGAACTGTAAACAGAACATTCTTTTGCTCCAACTTCGCCTAGAACTGTCATAACAGGGAAGAAATAAGCTTGTGTTAGTGTGCTGTTTCTGTGCATCCCTCTCTCAGCAGATATCCTGAGCTGAGCTGGAGGCATATTTATTGAATTTTTGTGCCTAATTGTCCAGAGTAATGTCTGCATTTATGATTTAATTATAAAAGTAAACATGTTTTAGCTGACTTGTCTTGTTGGAAAAAATTCTGCAAATTCCCTTGTGATGACGTGCTGTGAATTGGTGCTACAAAAATAAACTGATTCAAATTGAATTAAAGTTACCTCCGAACCTAAATATCATCATTATTATTCTTTAGAGAGAAAAAAAAATAGTTTAATAGGTAAAATAATTTTTTTTCTCTCTACAAAGATTGGTTTCTCAGCTTCAATATAAAGTATAACACCATCTTATAATACAGAGAGGTATCTGGCAGGTACTCTTTAGTTGCATTGTCCCACAATGACAATTTTTCCTGCCTTTAACATTTCATGCTTTTTATTTTCATAATTTCTAGAAGATATTCCATTTATGTGTGTGACATAGATATTATGGGCATTTGTAAAATTAAGGAAAAATTGTGTCCTTTATTGGTTCAATTGGGGACACAATATTTACCTGCCACATAAAGGACATTTTTTTATTTATTTTTTACAGGACAGGTGGAGACCCCTATCTCTCCCAGCGTTCCTTAGTCTGTCCAACTGACATTTTGGAATCATTGTTACTTAGGGTTTTTGTTCTACATGAAAATAAAATAGTACTGTAATTTAGGCACACTGACAGCTGCACCCTTCATTTTGGTTTTACCGTTGGTTTCAAAAGTACCAGCTTTATTTTTAGGAGGTTAAAAAGGTTGGAGCCAATTCTCCTCTATTGGCTATCATTTCCTGTAAGACAGAATTTTAACTTTCCTTTACAGCTTTAATACTTTTGTAGTAACTTTTCTAGTCCATATTATGTATTGCAAGGACCTTAATATAAAGTGTTACTGTATCTTTCAATTGCTGGTATAGAATTGTGTTTGAAGTCCTACTTTAACTCTTTTCAGGGTTCCAACACCTTGGTTTATATGATAATATTCATAGTCAACATTCATAAAAATAACACAAATGTGCAGAGGACAGCCCGCCAACAAGGGCTGCGGCCAAACAGGGCACATGGCAGCAGAGTGCTGGTGTAAGGAACTAGACTGCCATGCCTGTGGAAAAAAAGGTCACATTGAAAAGGCTTGTCGCAGTAAGAAAAAAGGGACTAGTTCAACGTACAGAAGCACAGACAAACGCAGGAGAGCCGCTACACATAAAAAAACGGTGCATGTGATGAAAAAGGAAAGTGACACCAGCGAATCTACAGATGATGAGGAGGTGCCCCTCCACATTCTGTCGCTAGCTGGAGGGTCTGACAGCTACTGGACAACACCAATGTTGGAAGGTAAACCAGTACGGATGGAAATTGACACCGGGGCAGCAGTGTCGCTAGTTTCAGAGACGGTGTACAAAGAACACTTACACCACTTACCAATCCAACAAGCACGGGTGGTGCTGAAGACCTACACAGGGGAGGCAGTGGCTGTCAAGGGCCTGGTCAATGTTAAGGTGGAGTTAAATGGACAACGCGTAAAGCTGCCCCTATACGTTGTTTGTGGCGACTACCCGTCCCTGCTAGGCCGCTCGTGGATGGATAAGGTGCAGATTGACTGGCCTACTGTCCGCATGCTTAGTCAAGGTGAGACCGCCCTAGAAGCTGTCTTAAAGAAACACAGCGAACTTTTCACTGAGGGATTAGGACACATGAAAAGTATCACTGCAAAGTTAACCCTAAAACCAGGCAGCATCCCCAGATTCATCAAGGCAAGGCCGGTCCCATATGCACTGCGTCCGAAAGTAGAAAAAGAGCTGGACAATCTGATGAATAGTGGGGTGCTCGAACCTGTGCTTGTCAGTGACTGGGCTACCCCAATTGTGCCCGTCCTTAAGAAAAACGGAAGTCTACGAATTTGCGGCGATTTCAAAGTGACTGTTAACCCAGCCTTGCAAAATGAACACTATCCGCTGCCCCTAATTGAGGACCTGTTTGCAGGTCTAGCGAATGGCAAACAGTTCAGTAAAATTGACTTGAACCAGGCCTACCTACAGATGCCGGTGGACCCTGAGTCCAAAGAGTTACTGACAGTCAGCACACACAAGGGCCTTTTTCGGTACCGCCGTTTGTCTTTTGGCATAACATCGGCCCCTGCACTCTTCCAAAAGGCCATGGATCAGATTCTGGTGGGCCTCCCAGGGGTGCAGTGTTACTTGGACGATATCCTCATAACGGGGAGGGACAACGCCGACCACCTCCACAACCTGGACATGACACTACAGAGGCTGAGGGAACACGGACTGAAAGTCCGCAAGGAGAAATTTGAGTTTTTTCAGTCCTCCATTGAGTACCTAGGTCACGTGATCGATGATAAAGGTCTACACGAGGCCCCCTCCAAGACCAAAGCCATTTTGGAAGCCCCAGCACCACAAAACGTCAACCAGTTACGCTCATACCTGGGGCTCCTGAACTACTATGGTGGGTTCATTCCCAATCTCTCCACCTTATTTAAGCCCCTCCACGAGCTACTGAGGCACGGAAAGAAATAGGAGTGGTCAGAGGCTTGCCAGATAGCTTTCACCAGCTCGAAGAAAGCCCTGCTGAACTCAGAGGTGCTTACACATTTCAACCCAGCACTGCCACTTCAGTTGGCCTGCGACGCATCCTCCTATGGAGTTGGCGCGGTGGTCTCACACATCATGCCGGATGGCACGGATAAACCCATCGCTTTCGCCTCAAAGACCCTTAATAAGGCTGAATGTAACTATGCACAGATCAAGCGGGAGGCCCTGAGCATCGTGTTTGGAATAAGGAAATTCCACCAGTACCTTTTTGGAAGGAGATTTACGCTTCTAACTGACCACAAACCACTGACAGCCCTGCTGGGGCCACACGCGGGCATTCCACCATTGGCCGCAAGCAGAATGCAGAGATGGGCCCTGCTGCTCTCAGGCCATGATTACGACATTAAGTACCGCCGATCCGAATTACATGGTAATGCGGATGGCCTCTCCCACTTACCGCTCCGCGTAGCAAAGCCAATGACCCAACCAAGCGACATCTTCTACTTCCAGCACGTGAGCGACACCCCTGTCACTGCTAAACAGGTGCGACGTGCCACCCGAAACGATCCGGTGTTATCAGCTGTAATGGATGCCATCATAAAAGACAGGAGAATCCCAAGCACGCCTGACAACAAACCATATTTGGTCAGGCAACAAGAGCTTTCTGCACAGTTGGGGTGTTTGCTGTGGGGCAGAAGGGTCATCATACCCCCTTCTCTGCAGGGCCCAATGCTGAAACAACTCCACGTCGGGCACTGTGGCATAGTGCGCATGAAGGAGCTGGCCCGCAGCTATTTCTGGTGGCCGGGGCTAGACCAGCACATTGAGGACTTTGCAGGCCGCTGCACTACCTGCCAGACTGTGCGAAACGCACCTAAACCAGCAGCAGTCCATCCATGGGAATGGCCCGCGGAGCCGTGGCAGCGTATACACATTGACTTTGCGGGACCATTCGAAGACAGAATGTTGTTGGTGGTGGTGGACGCTCACAGCAAATGGCCAGGCGTGCCCATCATGGGAATCTACAACCACCAGGAAAACCATTGAGCGTCTGGAGGAAATGTTCAGCCGGTATAGAATACCAGAACAGCTGGTGAGCGACAACGGACCCCAATTTGTCGCTGAAGAGATGGAGGCCTTCCTCAAGATGAATGGAATTCAACACATTAAGTCAGCACCCTACCATCCGTCCACCAATGGACTGGCGGAGAGATTCGTACAAACCTTGAAGCACAGTCTAAAGGCTTCAGTGTTCCAAGGTTCCCTTCATCAGCGACTGTACAGTTTCCTGCTGACGTACCGAAACACGCCACACAGCACCACTAAGGCGTCGCCCGCTGAACTCCTCCTGAAAAGAGCACTGCGCACCCAATTGGATTGCATACCGCCGCAGTCAAGGAGCCAAACTGTCCTGAGCAGTCAGCAAGAGCAGAGCCAACGTAGGGCAGGCACACCACGGTCTTTTCACATTGGTGACCCGGTCCTAGCTCGCAACTACCTAAGGGGTCCCAGGTGGGTGCCAGCGAAGGTAGTGGCCATTACCGGGCCACTGTCATACCAAGTACGCACCAACGATGACTTAGTGTGGCGTCGTCATACGGACCAACTGCTGGCCAGCAAGGGCCCTGCCCCGGAACCAATGGGTTCCCCCCCGCAAGATATCTCCGACCGGGCAGACGCGGTGGAGGACCAGGCCGCCCCGGACACCCTGTCAACCACACTTCAAGAGGACAATGTCACAGACCAGGTTCCCCAGCCCCCATTGACAACGGATTCAGCGCAACCGTCGTCTCCGGTGACCCACCATCCTCACCGGTATCCCACGCGGAAGCGACGGCCTCCTGACCCTGTGAACCACACTTCAAGAGGACAATGTCACAGACCAGGTTCCCCAGCCCCCATTGACAACGGATTCAGCGCAACCGTCGTCTCCGGTGACCCACCATCCTCACCGGTATCCCACGCGGAAGCGACGGCCTCCTGACCGCCTGAACTTGTAGTTGATGGACTTTCATATCCTTTTTTTTCTTGTGGATTGGACATTTTGAAGTTAGGTTATACCCCCTGTTGGGGTACGTTATCTTATTCGGGGGTTAGTCTTACTGAATATGGGGGGAGGAAATGTTAGATATTAAATCGGGTTTCACTGTTGCTATGTTTGTGCCTCGGCGGCCACCGTACCCCCGTGTTACGTAGGGGATTGTTTTTCCTGTATCCTGCCAGTTCTATTCAGTAAAGCGGACCGCAACCACCATACTACCCGTCTCCTCGTTATTGAAATAAAACCGGATAAATACTGTACATGACACCAGGGGAAGACGAGGAACCAGCACCATCCTGTTGACAGAAATGTCAGTCAGAACAGATGATTCTCCTATATTTACAGTTTAAGAGTAAGTTGAAACATCAACAAACTAATATGTATCAACTGCAAAAAGGAAACCAATAAATGAACATTTAGTTTTTAAATGCTATATTTTATTAGATAAAAATATGTGATGCTTTCATAGCTTATTTTTAAGAAAATCTTTTTTCAAGCAATGTTTTTATTGGAGTTCACTTCTTTAGGGATCCTAAAATGGTAATTAAAACATTAATATTTCTTTTTATATTTCTCTTTCTGGCAAATATTGAGAAACAAAAATAAAGAAATGAGAAACAAAGAAAAAAGGTACAATAAGATTAGCACAGAAAAGTAAATTGGTGTGTGACACCAGGGAACATCTCACCTTAGATACAAAGACACTAACAGTTGCGCCAATGATCACATGTTGCTGCAATAATAAATATCAATGTAAATGTGCTGCTCCATCAGGACAGAGTAAAGATTCACAACACTCTGTTTTTCAAGCTTAAGTTAAACAACAAAATCTAAAATCTTTTTCAACGAAACAAATCTAAAAAAAAATACAGGTATATTTGTTGCAATTTTATTTTTTATTTTTTTTATTTTCAACAGAATTGATGACATGGTTAAAGACCATCATCTCTGCAATGAATCGGCACAGCTGCATGGACAAACTGTGACGTCTTATGTACTAGATGTAGTGGTTGTTTCTTTGTCACTTCTGATAATATGTGGGAATCTTCTTGTAATCATCTCTGTCATTTACTTCAAACAGCTGCACACTCCAACAAACTTCCTCATCCTCTCTCTGGCTGTGACTGACCTGCTTGTTGGAGCTTTAGTTTTACCTTTCAGTGCAATATTGTCTATGAGCTCATGCTGGTATTCAGGTTATTTACTCTGTAAAATGCGAGATCTTTTTGACATATTACTATGTGCATCATCCATTTTAAACTTGTGCTGTATATCAATAGATAGATATTATGCTGTGTGTCATCCTCTAACATACAAAAGTAAAATGAATGGTTGTGTTACTCTGACTATAATCCTAGTGAGTTGGACTCTTTCAGCTTTGCTTGCTATAGCAATTAATGTCCGTGGAAAAGGTGAAGAAAATCTCAACTGTGAGATTTTTGTTGCAACAAAAGAGTCAAGCCCTGGACCAATTTTTGCATTTTACATTCCAGCAATTATCATTTTAACAATCTATCTTAAAATTTTGACAGTAGCAAAGGGGCAGGCAAGGCGAATACAAAACACTTTAAAATCTGAGGCAGCTCTCAGTAAGATGGAGAAAAAAGCCAACGTAACTCTGACTATAGTTCTGGGAGTCTTCCTCATATGTTGGACTCCTTTCTTTGTATCACAGGGTTTGTACAGTATGGGCAGGCTCACAATACCAATTGTGGTGATTGAAGCATTTAAATGGCTTGGATGGTCTAATTCTATGTTAAATCCTTTGGTTTATGCTTTCTTCTACAGGTGGTTCAGAAATGCTTTTACAATAATAATTTCTGGTAAAATATTTCAAGGGAATTTTACTAGTGCAAACCTGTGTCATAGTTAAACATTTATATGTTCTGACTAATGTGTTTTTTTTTTTTCAGTTATTTCTACCCAAACATTTATTGTATCATAAATACATCCATCCATCCATTTTCCGTCACCCTTATCTGGTGCTGATGCCTATCTCCAGCTGTCAATGGGCGAGAAGTGGAGTACACCCTGGACAGATCGTCAGTCCATCGCAGGGCAGCATCATACATGTAGCGTGTAAAATTAAAATAATTTAGATGAATTGTTTAACTCACTATATCACATAGAGTTTCTAAATTGTTTCTTTTATGTCTTTTGAAATTGTCTAAATAACAAAAAAAATGTAGAGAACATGTGTTTTTCCCTCAAAGTATACAAGATTAAATTGTGCCATGTTTATCTAAAATATTCCTAAAATCATTGTTCATAATTTTTCTACTAACATATTTTTACAATGTTTTTCTTTTATATGTCAGAAACTTTTCACTAATCTGCTATTGCTTACACAGCCCTTTTAATTATCCAACAAAAAATCTCAGTCATAACTCTTAAAGGAATAGTACACCCAAAACATGATAAGCCTTCATTTTCTACTCACCCCCATGCTGAACAACACTCTGGAGTACTTTTTTGATATCTCAAATGCATCTGGAGATATCAAAAAAGTACTCCAGAGTGTTGTTCAGCATGGGGGTGAGTAGAAAATGAAGGCTAATCATGTTTTGGGTGTACTATTCCTTTAAGTTAATATTTGCATTTCTTTGTTCAGTGTTTATTGCAGGGCAGCACGGATAATGTATACAACAGCTATGTGTTTAGTTTTTGCTTTATTTGTATATTATCGGTTCATAATTAAGATATGTTTTTTTTTTTAAGTCAAAACTACACAGTAAAAAATGTGGTGTTAATATTTCAGTGTAAACTTAATTTAATCTAAATAGAGTATTTATAACTATATGGAGTGTAAATCGGCTCTGGTGTTGGAGTTAAAAGTCAGAGTAAAATGCTACATTCACGCAGTGAATCTTTTGACTCTGTCAAGTGTCAATAACGCGCCAATAAAGAGTTTTGGCAACCGCGAAGAGGAGAAGGAGGAGGAAGAAAGAAGACGAAGCAGCAGTTTTCTGAAGTTCGTGAGACGGCCACTTCCATTTTGGATTCTGAACGGAGTTGTGCTACAGAAAAAGTAAGTTACTTAAAACCCCTCCATGTCTCCTCATTTTTGTTCCTGTTTTATTCCGTTGTTCACATTCAGGGTAGCGGGAGAAAGTTCTGTTAGGGCGAGAGCCGAGGGATAGCCCTATGCTAGGCAAGTTGTCCACCTCAAAATATTTGCTCACTTTTTTTCTGAAGGCTGTCAAGGTAAGAATACGTAACTGTTATAAATTGTAATAGTATTAATTTCTTATGCCATAGCCCCAGGTTCCGTGGGTACTTCGGGGTCGTAGCACCCACTGCGTCATGTTAGCATGGTTAGCATTTTGACATTTTTTTAACTAGCGTGCTTTTATTTTGAAGGCGCAGCATAGCGTTAGGTCACTGTACTCCCCTCCCCTCTCTAATCTGCTCCGTGTTTGAGCACTCAGAAAGGAGAAAAACGGCGACACAGAAGTCAGAAACATTGTCTGTCGGGATGCTGCTATGAATATTGCATATTTATAACGTCTTGTTGTCAGTTCACTTTCATATATAGAAACTGAATCTTTTTGGTTTAGTTATCTTAGTCTTGTACGGAAGAGGATTAGGGCCACTGGAAAAAAAAAAGTTAACTGATTTTTTAATTTTTTTTTTGTTTAACATGGGGGGAAAAGTCAGAATTCTGACTTTTCTCAGAATTCTGACTTTAATCTCAGAATTCTGACTTTTTTCTTCTGACTTTTTTCTCAGAATTCTGACTTTAATCTCAGAATTCTGACTTTTTTCTCAGAAATCTGACAGATGATTAATATTTCTAATCAATTTACAGTGTTTTTATTTTTTTGAGGGGGGGTACTATACAGATATATACAAACAAGAAGATCTAACTAAAAATTAACCAGAATATATGTTTAGAGTAAAGATTGACTACTTGTGTTTACACAAGCACACAATTTCAAATCTGCTGAGCTTGCTGTGCAAGAAAATGTAAAATATACGTATAAAGAAATATAACAGGAAGTACTGCTAAAACATAAACTAAATGTTAAATAATGTAGATATTGGTTTAAAAAATTCTCCAGATTTGGAAATTTGGAAGGAATACATAATTTTGAAATTAATCAACAAATCTGGTAAAAAAAATAATTAAATAAATAAAAAATAAAAGTTGCACTTTTTTACTTGAGGAATTTGTTGAATAACTTCATAATTATGAGTTTAACTAGTTGGAGGTAATGCTACACTTCTCTGCTTACTGCCCTGCTCATAAAAGGTAAACATTATAAACCCACCATTCATTTTCTACACTATTTGGAAAACACAACACAAATGTAATATAACAAAAGTATGTTTAACAACAAACATGTTAGCATCAAGCCATAGCCATGTCTGTTTTAGAGACTAGCTCTCTTGTTTTAATGACCTTCTGCTCCTCCATTAATGAGGGGACCCCTGGGGAACGTAAAATGTTGCCTAATTCCGTCATTTTCCACCAATGTGTCACCGGCCACCTCAAACAACTCACTTCTTTGTCAGTGAAGCTGAGTGCTCCACATCTCTTCCTTCATGGTGCCCTTCTACATTAAGATCCAAAATTCTGAGATTAAAGTCAGAATTCTGAGAAAAATAGTCTTAATTCTGAGAAAAAAGTCAGAATCCTGAGAAAAAAAGTCAGAATTCTGACCTTTTTCCCGTATTAAACTGAAATGAAATGTAAAAATCACTTAACTTTTTTTTTTTTTTTCAGTGGCCCTAATCCTCTTCCGTAGTCTTGGGATGATCACTCATCCAATATTTAACTGCTAACTTTCTCTAGACGTTTGCCACGCTAGCCAAAATTTTTTTTTTTTTTTTTTTTTATAGATCTCATTTCAGTACAATGCCACCACCAACTAAAAGGCTGAAACAGCAGTAGGACTTACTCAGCTTTTTTAAAAAGAGAAACGTCAGTGTAACCCCAATAGTAAACATATTCCTACGCCCTTGAGTGTATCAGGAATATGAACTCAGTTTTCAATTGGCATTACCTTTAAAGCGCATAAATTAACTATTAAAATGTGTTTGTCATGGTTGTTTATTTTTGTTATTCTTTCTTTTCAAACAGACCATGCTACTACGTGTTTTGTTTGGTGGGGAGCAGAAGTACGTGAAACTTTCTGACCTAACATTTGATGCATTCGTGAGAGAAGGTTAGTATGTTGGTAAAATAATCTCACTACTTTTTTTCTTGCATGTAAAAAAAAAAAAAAGAGTACTGGATTGAACTCACTGGCATTTTTTAAAATTAGTTGGGTTACTCTACTTATTTCACCCTTTATCAGCAGTAAATGTTTTCATTTTCACTTCTTTACTATTTCTTTCTGCTTTAGTGTGCCTGAAATTTAAAATTCCAGAAGGCAGACAGCAGGATCTGAAGGTGTATGACCAGTCTGATACAGAAGTTGATGTAGATGTTTTTGAAGAAATAGTGCATCAGTCACCTGGAACTTTTTGAGTTATGTTGAGCAACAAAGAAGATCCTGGTAATCACCAACAATTCACTGATGTATATATATTTAATTTAGAAGCTGGGTTGGGAGCATTAGAGTTCTCCTAAACCGGCTGTTGCTTTATTTTTTGCAGGTGCTGTTCTATCATCATCGTCATCTTCAGTGACATCTGATGACACTATCATTCTGAATTTCACAACGTGTGACCCATCAGAAGAAGAAGCCACTGCTGAAGGAAGTCAACCTAAAAGGCCATGTCACATAAATTATGAGGCACAAGCAGTAAGTTATTACATTTAATTTAGCATTATTTATGTTCTTTCTAGGTTTAGTGGTTTAAGAGTTTTAATTTATTTATTTTTTTTTAATTGAAGTTGATTGAAAAAATCTTGACAACAAAGCCTGGTGGTGAGCGTATCATGCAAGAGTATGCAAGAACTAAAAGCTTGACAGATGCAACCAGAAGACAGATGATAAACATCCTTACAGCTGCAATGACAGAAGCACATGGGTAAGAATCAACTTGGGCAACTTGGCCTATAAAGAATCATTTTGCTTTGAATTGTTTTTCATTATTTTTACAAACGTCAGTTTAGTGACTCATTGTTTGATCATATATCAGATCATCCCCTCCTAAAAGCGTCAGAGTGATGTATGCTCAGGGGATCGTTGCCCTATTTCCCTATCTGGAAGACCCGCTTTCAAAACATGGATATGTAAGTAAAAGGGTCTTAGCAACATTAAGCATATATATTTACCTTCCAAGATGTTTATGGAATGTTAAGTCTGCTTGTATTTATTGAAATAGGAGCATTACTATGATCCAGAGAGCGGTTCAGGATACCTTGCATGGCGTTTAAAGACCATTCAAAGAAAAACTGCAGAGGAACGGGGTGCCTCAGGTAGCAAATCTCCCAAAAGTAAGTTTTCTCAATAGTGAGTATATGTAAAGTAATGTAAAATCTGTGGCTTGAGTTAGAAACCGTTTTCTTTTTAAGGTGGTGGACCAGGCCATGTTCACTCCAGGGTTTCCACTGCTGACAAAGTGCTGTCAGATGTGGAAGTGGAAGCAGCTATTGCTGTTTTGAAACACTGCTGATGATGAAACGGTCCGTGAGAAGATGAAGGCCACCTTCCATTACCGTCATTCAATGGTCAATGATGAAAAGAAAGCAGAGAATGTCTTCTCTGTCTTTCCACGGTTTCTGGACACACCAGGACTGGTAAGACAGCTTTATCTCTTACACTACTACAATATTCAGTGGCAACAGTTATAGGAGTTTGTTCTGTAACCTGTGTATTACCAGTTTGAACCACAACTCTTTCTAAACTGTTATCTCCTTGGGCAAGACACTTCACCTGGCTTGCCTGCTGGTGGTGTTCAGAAAACCCGGTGGCACATGGCAGCATTGCTTATGTCAGTCTTCCCTTGTGCAACTGTGGCTACATTGTAGCTCACCAGCATCAGCATGTGAATGACTAAATGTGGTGTAAATCACTTTGGGGTCCTCTGGACTTCATAAAGCTCTATGCAAGTACAGGCCATTTGGGAAACGCTTTTACTTATGCATTTCAGATAGAACAAGATTTCAGACTCCTGTTTGGTGAAGGCACTGCCAACAAATTTTTTGAGAAGTGGCCCACCTGTCTCAAATCCAAGGTCATAAAGGAAAGCCATGGCCTGGTACCCACCACTGAGCTCGTGGATTTATTGCGGAATGCAGAGTTGGCTGCTGAAGCTGAGAATGGTATGTTGGTCCTCTACGTAATTGTGACAAATTCATATGTTAGTGGGATGATGGTAACCTGAAGCTTTTGCTCTGCAGGTTGGGATAGTGATATGTCTGATATTTTGCTTCTGCTGCATCTGCTACCACCATCTGCACAAGGACGAAAGAGGCCGGGTAAGATGTCTGCATCTCAAGCAGTGGATCACCTCATCAGATTTCTAAAGGTACTGCTAAACAGTTTTAAGATAAAAATGCATAATTCAGTCTCTTCATTTTTACAGTTCAAAATTTGATTATGTCTGATCTTCATTCAGAAATTTTTCTCTAAATACTTTTGTCATGTTTTTATTTATGTTTCATTGTAGGTTGGAACCAGTGTGCAGCAGCATCTTGACAAAATCAGCCAGCGTACCCAGCCCTACCTCCTGGCCCATGGCTCCATCCAAAGCAGTATTCATGCATTCTTCATTGTGATTGACAACTATGCTATTCCATGTAAGGCAACGTGTTCAGTTGGAGCTGAAAACTTCTCAGTTGATGTGATGCACGACATTTTCGAAGGTATTGGCCAGTACGAGTTTAAAATTTTGTTTGAGTATTTTAAAGAACATATTACATTGGAAGAACTGAATTTGAGAATACAAACTTTTGACTATGGATTCATGGAGAGGAACAACAGGCCAGTGGCTGTCAATTTATGTGGGGAATCGAATGATCTGGGACTAAATGCAGTCCAATCATGGTGCTTGCTGAAGAATGTTCCTCTCATGTTTGGAGATCTTGTAACATCTGACAATCCACACTGGCACCTCCTCCTTTTACTACTACAAATTGTAAATATTGTTCTTTCTCCAATGTTAACCCAAGGTCTGTGTGTATATTTAAAACATTTGATTGTGGATCATCACAAACTGTTTAAAAAGTTATATCCACAGAAAAAACTTTTACCAAAGCACCATTTTCTCATCCATTATCCTAGGTGCATTCAGAAAATTGGCCCTGTACTTCATAGCTGGTGCATGCGCTATGAAGGTAAACATAATTTTTTTAAGAAACAGTTAAAGTCATTTAAAAACATTTCCAAAACACTCGCTAAAAAAATTATACATCAAACATCAAAATTATATGGCACATGTTTGGCAAGCTTCTTCAACTTTTAATCGATTGGACATTGGACCAGGGAAAATGGTATCTTTAAACATGGTAAAAGGAGGTTCTGACATTTCTGAGGCAGTGCAAGTGTCTCATGAGGCTCAAGTTATGAAAGTGAGCTGGGCAAAAAACAATGGGTTTATTTACCGTCCTCATCTGGTTATTTGTGGCAAAGTTGAATCTGAGATGCCTGTCTTTTACCAGATCAAGTCTGTGTTCATAGTTAAAGACAAATTATTGCTGCTTACATTGCCTTTATGTACAGTAACTTTTCTTGAACATTTTCATGCTTATGAAGTTACTAAAATGGTGCAAGGTTTTGTTGTGTTTGATGTCAACCATCTATGTTATCCAAAGCCCTTTGACATACAAATGTCATATGAAGCAAATGACACTGCTCTCTTTGTTGTCCCATATTGCTATCTTTGGTGAACATTTTTTTGAAGATGATTAAAATGACACTGTTAAACTGATTAAGTTGAATAAATGTTGTCACTGTCAACGTATAACTTTGTGATTATTGTGATTGGTAGTAGTTTTTATAAAAGCCATATAATGCTCAAATTTAGCATTATATGGTTTATGTGTAAAAAAAAAAAACTGGAGAAAGGAAAAAAAAAACACCACAATAAAGTGTACATATTTAAGTAAATTTAGTGTAAAATTAACTCCATAAAAATAACAGTATTACTCTGAAGAGTGTAAAACAACAATAATGTTAAATAATTTGACTCACTGACTTGTTGATTTTGACACTAAAATGAGTAAAATTAACTCTGAAAATTTGACACTGGCTATAGAGTACATTTTACTCTATTTTTGAGTGGGACCAAATGTTATCTGAAACGGAGTTAAATTCAACTCTGTAGGTGGTAAATTGACACTTTGTTTTTTAGTGTGTACATTTATTTACCAAGTATTTAAGGGTAGAGCTGTTTAGTTACCCTAGTTTCCCTTTTGGCAAACAGACAGAGGGTCAGGAAATAGGGGTAACAGGTGGGTTGCCAGTTTTGCTGCTGCTCAATCTGTCTCTGGTGTTGTAAGGTCATGGTGACGCATATTGTAAAGCAGCCTTATCTCTGTCACTTCATCAAATGCAGCAATGAAGCACTGTCCTGGCATGATAAAGGAAGAATGAGATAGCTTGGTGAGTTAAAATAAACTTTAATTTATAAAAAAGAAAGCCTATTGTAGGTATATTTACAGTACATGGGCATAAGGAACAGACGGTTGATGAGACTAAAAATGTTTTATGTGAACATGTCAGTCATGATATTTGAATCAGATTAGGCAGAATTGAAATGAAATTGCAATCCTAATCAGAGGGGTGTGTTTGCTTACTGTCAGCCCAATCACAAATATCAACACTTCTCAGGGTAAAGGTTTTCTAAATGAGGAAAGCTGACCTGAGAAGTCATGACCACATGCCATCAAGATCACATATTTAAGCTTTGAGTGGCTAGATCCTATGGCTAGATGCTGCCGGGATATCCCGATTGGCATGTTTACATTTCACATTTCTTGCCTGATCATTCCTTTTATTCAAATTACTGACGTCCATATAAACAGTAAAATCTCATTATTTCTTTTGTTTATTTTTATTAAAACACATAGGTAAAGTTTGGAAGGCCGAAATAATTAATCTGTGATGGTTAAATGAAGCAGACAAGTCAATGAAGCAAAGGGAACAGGTAGGGGAAATGATTTAGATGAGAGAAAGAGCAGGTGGATCCAATAAACTAATAATGTGATGGGAGTGATTAAGGCCTGGTCCACATGAAAATTAACTCAGGATATTTACATAAATGGCTTACAAAAGAAGTTGCATCTACACAAGTGTCCTCATGGTGGGCCCTTCGATGGGTATTGCCACAGAATCACACTCAAAACCCTGATAAAAACACTGGACATGCTTAAGCAGCTCATGCAATGTATACACGGCAGCATAGCGGTGAAGAGGCAGATGTGGGTTAAGCTATAATGTTATCCTTAAAAAAAGAGGAGGCCTGCATGTACACACTTTAACATGAAACCGTTCTCTGATTTTTCTACTGTAGGACCCAATTTTAAAAATGGTAATCTATGGTCTCCAAAGCACCAGCTCTATTTGGGTGCACAGCTTAAAACAGTAAAATATCTTTGCAGTTACACTGAATCTAGTCTCTGTGTGGGTAGGACCTAAATGAGGAACTGAAGGTACTAATAAAACTAAATAGTTAGAAAAACACAAACAATAAGAGCAAGTTGCACAAGATCCAATGTAAGGATTACAAGAATAACTATAAAGCTAAAACATTTTAAAAATGCACTAAAAAGAAAAACAATCTTAAAAATATGAGCATAGAGAAAAATAACAGTGAGAAAGTGAAAACAGAAAAGAAATAAAAATTCAATAATTATTATTATATATTATTTTAATATGGAACAGAACAATTACCTACCAGAAAAAAAGTCTGGTAGGTAGAGTCTTCTTTTACAGGATAGGTGGCGAATCTAGCTCCTTCTGGCGTCTCCTACACTGTCCTTTTGACATCAGGAATCCACTGTACAGTTTTTTTCAAACACGACAGCTAAAAAAAGTTGAGAACACATCAGTCTACTTTGATCCATTCTTCTTTGGCTGACGTTTCCTTTTGGACTGAACTTTAGATGTCAGGAAGTACAGGGCCTGTGTCTTGCACATTTGAGATACATCTCTGCTTTAACAAAGCTAAATTTAATAATTACGTCCTTTGCAGGACAGTGGAGAGTTTGGCTTTAACTGAGGAAGTAATTAATTTGTTTGATTCAGGTGTGTATGATCAGGTAGATATCTAAAAGTTGCAGGAGGACTTAAGTTTGACATTCCAGCTATAGGACAATAGTTCCCAAACCTGCTTTTCAAGTACGACTGCCCTGAAAGTTTTTCAGTATCAGCAAGTCTAATTAAAGGATTGCATAACATCCCCAGCAACAATCAATTCTACTGAAGCCTGTCCCTCATTCCTGTACAGGTGTTTGGCAGAAATAACAAATAAAAACACGTACTGCAGTGAACTTTGAAGACCAGGAAATGAGAAACTGTGCTCTAGGACATTCCACGGATATTTCTTAATACAAAACATGGGAACTTTTGTTCTTAAGCAGGTTTCTTTATCTGCTATTATTTATTTCATGTTTAAGAACCCTATTTAACTCCATCACCTATTGAAATCATTTGGGTTTTTTTATGTGTGTATTATGCCTTTTTTGAGTATATTACTTTTATATTATGAACACTTTAATTAGTCAGCATTTTTTTAATTGCTTTATAATTAAAATTTTATTTTATTATATGTAAAACTAGGGTGACCATATTTTCATTTGGGAAAACCAGGACACCTTGGAACGAGGGGGGGATCTCTGTTCCCATGCATAGAGATGTCTGTGGCACGCACTCACTTAACATAGACCTACGTAATCCTACAATAACATTATATTTACAGTTATTTATGAAAAAATGCTTTTCAGTAAAAGTCAACAGCAATAACTCCAATAACAAACGATAATTTCATTCAAAATGCATTTATTAAAAATACTTAACAATTCCTGTAATGAATGAATAGCACAATGAAATAAATAATGTCCCATCTAAACATCCCTCACTTAACAATAAAAGTTAACAATAACTCTCAACTCCCAATAACAGATGATACTCAGCCTCAGCAATGAACGAAATAATGTCTGTTCTGTAGGCTATTGGAAAAAAATAAATTAACAAATGAGCTAATTAACAAAAAATACCTCTTGTGTAGCAAAAATTATTCAAAATGTACCAAAAACGAACAAACATATCAATAGACTTTCTTTACTTTCGGAGTCCAGGTGGCTTTTCAGATCCCTTGCACCTCAATTGGACACCGAGACATAAGTGCCTGCTTTGCACACTTTGCACAAGGCCTCCCATTTGTCTCGACCCGGTCTGAAAGCGGGGAAACTCTTTTGTAAATCGTCGGTAAACATACATTTGCGCTTTTGCATGTTGTTAGCGTACTGACAGCCACGCAATCTATTGCTCTGTTCGAAAACCTAGGACGCATCCTTAGAAGGCCAGATTCGAAGGCCGATTACGTCATAGCGCAGCGCCGAGGTCTGGTCGGATTCCAAGACTCCTCGTTATGCGGCCTTAAAATGCGTCCTTCTTTTTGCCCGATTTGAAGGACGGGTCCGATGTATCCTCGGTATCCTTGGATATCCCAGGATTTATTGCGAGACCAAGCAAGCCGTGATCAGAGGAAAGGTTACTTGGCACTGAACAGTGGTGAAAATTGGAAGGTCAGTTTAATATAATACAAGTCATTGAATAGTTCCGTCTGAAGTTAATGAAAATAGTTGTTTTAATGGT